AACCTCTGCCATACTCAATTGTAGCAGTAGTGGAAACCTCCTGCCTTTTGCTTTCTGGAACTTCAGTGGTATATGACTGCCACTTACTGTCCTCAACAACCTTGGCATCCGAGTGGTTAATGTCAACCATTCTGTGAGGAGCTTTTAATGTTCTTGGTGGTGAGTAATTGATGAGTGCAATGTCTTTCCAACCAGCATTGGAAGCTTCTGGCAGTATAACTACTGCTCTGTCTGCTCCTTTTAGAGACAAAAGACTCATAAATCTTCCGTGAGCATTAAACTTCCTTGTACTAAAATACTCTGCCATTTGGTCCTTCATTCTCCATCTCCTCACAAGATTCTTGGTTGTCGTTTGAGGCTTCTTTCAGGACAAAACAAATCCACTCCATCACTTTTATGCTGAGAGTTATTCTTCACATCTTGTTTCTTCTACGCTCCAACCAATCAAACCAGACTTCCTTGCCAGTCCCAGATGTCCATCTGGTAATATCGAATGACTTGAAACAGGTGTGGAAATAAACCCTATCCCCCCCCCCCCCTATGTTTGTGGAAGGGAACTGAGGTGAAGGAAGGGAGAAAGCTATCGCAGAAGGAGATAGCTGAGGGGAAGGATGAGGTTTGTAGTTCTCAGGTGGCCTGCCGAAAAGAGGGTACTCTCTCTCCTAGAAAGTAGGAGAGAGAGAGTTTTGGGTAAGTGTGCCTGAGAGCATTTTTTAATTGCTGTCTGAAGTATCTTGTGAAATGCTACTTAAAATTATTGATTTCAACATTTGAATGAAATTCCGAGAAAGCAATTGATTTGTTGCAGTTGCGAATTGGCCTGTATGATTTTAAAACCAGAACTTGAATCCCCCTAAAATGGCCAGTCAACACCTGTTAGTTACATGAAATTTTAATCTTGTGATGCTTGTGATTGTTGGTTTGTACTTTCTGGCTGGTGGACGATTTTGCTTGCTCTCCCTGCTGGAGTTTTAACCTTACAACCCAAGCTGCTTTATTTTCTTTACTTCTCCCAGCAGTTGCGTGCTGATCATCTGTTATTATAGAGGGCAGAATCAATGTTTCTTTGCTCTCCTTGTGCCCATCTGTTTTATCATTGATTTTTCAGTAATTGCCGTTTTAGTTTTTATCACCTCCAATATCTGACTTCTCTTATAGCTATTTGCAGTTTCATAATGTCTTCCAATGTGCAGGCTCAAGGCTATAGGCCCAAGTCTAAATCACTGGAACAAGTGCTGAAAACAGCTATTAAGATGGAAGCTAAACTGATAGGATATGATGAAACACCCTGTGTTCTTACTACTAGTTGTGATGACTTGGATAAGCATGAAACGTCTGAAAGTGATTGTGACTTAAAAGTATTCCCTGTTAATGAGAAACTTGCAAGAAGTTGCAATTTCAAGTTTAAGTCTACGAGAAAGTTGTTGTCCCCAGAGGCATCTGTACAATGCAATTCTGACCAGACCATCATGAGTAATGGCTCTAAGGAAGATTCAAAAGCTACAGGTATCAATAAACAAGGATATCTATATCTGCTTTGTTATCCATGTTATCATTTCTTACTCCAAAACACTTCAGGTGGTTCAAAAACTGAATCGGCAAAATCACGTTTGCATGAAATTTGTGCTGCCAACTGCTGGAAACCTCCTTTATTTGAATGTTGCAAGGAAACAGGACCAAGTCACTTGAAAGAGTATGTACCGAACTAGTGAAGAGTGGTTCCTATTTTCATTCCTGAATTTTGAGTAGATTCCGGCAATCATGAAAAGTAAACTAAATAGAAACCCCCCCCCCCCCCCCTCTCCGTTTCAATCTTGGGGTCTTAAACTAAATATATGTATAATGTTCTAAAATGTCTTTAATTTTGTGGTGTCTTAAACATGCCAGGTGGGATGTTGAAATTGAAGAGTTGCCTAATTAGGAAAGATGCATTCTTTTTTTAATAGACTACAAAGGAAAGTAAGACAAACAAATTGAAATAGAGGGAGTAGTAAACAAACTGAATTAACCAAATACTTAGTTGCAAAATATCGCTTTTCGCGAAGTGGCCCAAAATTTGAACAGACAGTTTTACTGGTATTACAGAATGAACGTATACAGCTTTATGTGACATATACATTTTCCCATAAATTGTTAGCAGATCTATAGGTTATTTTATTTCTTTCCTTGGTTAGCACACAGTCTATATGTATTTATATGCTTTCTTCTTTGAATGAAATTCATGTGGTCCATCCATGTTAGGGCTCTCAAGTTCACGCTTCAGTTGGGGCTCGGCGTGAAGGGGGGCTGTTTTAGTTCCTCATAGGTTGGGGAATAGACGGATGATATGCTTATATGGACTTCACAATCCTCCCTTATGAGCTAGCTTTTGGGGTTAAGTTAAGCCCAAGTGTCATAACTATCAAAGCTAGGTCCATCCCTGTTCTTCCGATCCACGCTTTAGTTGGGTCTGGGCGCGGAGAGGATGTTAGAGTTCCACATTGGTTGTAGAATGGATTAGTGGTTTACTTATATGGACTTAGCAAATCCTCCTCATGACCTAACTTTTGGGGATGAGTTAGGCACAAGCGCCACATCTTTACAACTAGAAACTACATTGATATAACACATGAAGCCTAGTGTAACGGACTTGGACTTCTACTAAGCACTCCGTGCGGCACTTGAAAACTTACTCAAGAATCTTTCACCATCTTGTAAGCTCAAGTAAGCCTTCTCAAATTAGATCGCTAAGAGAATGAAGAAAGACACCAGAGAATTTCTTATTAAGACTTTTATATTGCTTGGAAGATTGCTTGATTCTTGCTTTGATTGCATTACAAATGAATGCCCCTCTATTTATACTACTCACTAGGGGCTAATTTGCAAATATTAATTATGTACAAGTCCCTATTCTAGAACTCTCTACACAACTAGAAGATTCCAAGGACCTTCCATGGAATTCTAAGCTCTTCCATGGAAATTCTCCATGTATTTCTAGAACCTTCCACTATGAACTAGCCTTCTTCCTATCTAAGCCCTCCACATGGGCAACTTTGTGCCATGTGGCACCTATGTGATGCTTATGTGGCATGATGACGTGGCGGGTCATCACACTAGGCATTTAAATTCCTCTTAGAGAAGTAGAAAGCTATGCACCACAAAGAAAAAATTTCAGCTTGAGATGGCAGTGATGTGCAATCATTTTGCCTCTTCTTTACTGACTTCTTTGACAGAACTTGTGTGGTTAATTTCTTGCACCATTTGGTTGTTCGATATTTTACTTGCAGTTGCAGTTCTTACTTTTAGGAGTCGTCTGATGTAAGGTATAAGGTATAATAATCCCGAGATAAAATATAGGATTATTTATCATGCGTTTGGTTGCAAGTATTAGGTAGTCATTGGATTATTTATGCCACCATTTATACCATAGTGATCGGATAAGTTATCCCATACACATGCTGGGATAACTTATCCCGAAGTAATTAATCAACCATAACTTGTTCCCAACCAAACGACCCCTTAGTTCTTGGTACCTATGAATAAAGAAAAATTCTTGCTGGTCATATGGTTTAAAGTTGTCCATGAGGAGGACCCCTATATTGTCTATAAGGCTTTCTTCTTATCTAACCAAGAAATGTTTACACCACCAACACCATCCTTTATTATTGATTATATTTGTGCTGTGTGCACCCTAAAATCCTTGACATTTTAGAGCCTATGGAGTCATAGAGAGAAACAGAGAGAGAGTGAAGAAAGTAGTAGTGTATGTTGTGCCCCCAACCACTCATATTTATGTTCTCCAAACTGTTTATGTATGTTCCCTTCTTCACTTTTACAAATAATCTTCAGGTTTACTTTCCGGGTGGTGGTAGAGATCGAAGAAACATCAAGAGTTGTAGAGGCTTATGGAGAAGCTCAGGCGAAAAAGAAAGATGCAGCTGAGCATGCAGCAGAAGGGGCTCTTTGGTTCTTGAAGCAGGAAGGATATCTGCTCGACAACTGAGGCGCTTACTGGGCCCCAAAACATCAATTTGAGTGTAATTTACAAAAAATGCATTTAGGCTGTTTATTGCGACGATAATGTAGCTGTATGTCAATTCTGTGTATAGGACATAGAATGTTGTATATTACTGGAAGAGGTCGTAGAGCGATTAAAGGGTTCTTTGTAGCTCCCCCCTGGTGTGATTGCAAATAGAATAGGTGCTAAATGATGTAATTTTACATATAGTTGGGAAGGTACATAAGGTCTTGAAATGATAATGTGGCCTGCTATTGTTGTGAGGTCAACTTTCTCTTAATTGAAGTTCCATATTTTTGGTATATTCTCATAGATCCTTCCTTTTCTTCTTTCCATCTTTGCCATTTCTTTGTTGGTTTTCTCCCCATTCTTCCATTTGCTGAATTGAGTGATATTTGAAAAAAATAGTGCTTGGCATTGAAAAGTGATATTTGGCGTTTGGACATGAATTTCATTTGGAAAAATGTTGCAAGTTTGCTATGTTACATCTTCCAGATTTTTTATTAGAAACACAATTTAACGAGACATTTTGAATAGTAGTAACGTTTATTATGGCAAATTAACATACATAGGAATTTGGGGAAAGAGGCATTGCCATGGGATTAAGCCTCTAAGGGGTGTTCGAGATTACAACATTTGCGATTCACTTGTTTTAAATTTAATATGGAATAGTCACATCTTTTTTTCTTTCAAAATTTTATATAGAAAATACAAGTTATCTATTACAATAATATGTTAGGCATTTAGTAAGACGTATGATATTGTCAAAAAAAAATAAAAAATTACATTGCCTCTAATAAATTACGAAGTTTTATATTTGAATTTAAAAAATAATTATTTTAAATTAAAAATAAGTAAGAACTTAACTTCCCCGCCAGCATCCATACACGTGCTACTCACGTGCATATTTTTTCCCGCCAACTGATTCCCGCCAAAATCACCCTCCCCTTTTGTTAAACCCTTCTTCCAGAAAGAGAGCCAAAGCCCATAAAGAGAAAAACATAGAGAGAGTGGAATTTGAGTCAGAGAAAACGAGAGATTTCTAGAGAGAGAAAGGAGAGATGTCTGGCTGGGACGAAGGAGCAGTATACTACAGCGACCAAGCTCAGTTTCCTCACGGCGGCGGAGCCACCGGAGACGCCGAAAATGGAGGGACGAGCCGCCACGTCGTACTCCGGAAGTTCAAGGAGTTCATCAGGAACTTCCCTGATAAATCTCAGCCGAATGTGTTTCCTTACAGAGAAGCTCTTCTCGAGAACCAAAATTACCTCATTATTAACCTTTCTGATCTCCTTTCCTATGAACGGGACCAAACCCTACCTGAACTCCTTCGACAGAACCCTGCTGATTACCTTCCTTTGGTATGCACTAGTTATATTTCTGTTTTGTGTTGTTTAACAGGATGTGGATGTGGATTTGTTGTTGATGAACTTGATAATTTGATGGATTTTGTTTTTATTTTTTTTTGTTGAAAATGAATGATTATGATTTATGACTTTGAATATGTGGTTGATGAATTTGGGAGTTTAATGGATCGAATTTGCTGTTTTGTTGTAATTAGATGTGGATTTGTTGAAATGAATGATTAGGACTGTTGATTTATGGCTGTGAATTTGTGGATGATGAACTTTAGAGTTTAATGGATTTAATTTGCTGTTGTATTATAATGATATTTTGATTTGTTGAAAATGAATGCTTATGTTGGATTATGATTTATGTTGATAATGAAAAATGGTTACTGATTTATGATTTTTTAATGGTTTGTTATACTGTAATTGTGTGTATACTAGTAGCTTTTTGCACTTGCAGTTTATTTTGGATAGGATTATGTTCGTTGTGACAAATAATGATGGTCAGACCTCCATGCTTAACAAATGGGTGCAGTTTTCACTAATTTGGCTTTTCAAAAATGTAAATGTATGCATTTGTGGGATTTGCATATGTTTGCATTTTGAGTTATTAAATAGTTGCATTTGGGTTTGGGGCATTGTTGTTAGGTATAATTAGTTTAGTTGCAAGTGGGTTTGTCCATATTCACTGCTGAAAGGCTACATTACTGTTTGAATAGAGGCATGAGAAAGGTTTCCCTTTGACATAATAGTTTCCCCCTCTAGATGCAGATATATTACATTATTCGTTTCTAAACTGTGAAGTGAAGAATGACAAGTACAATAATTGAAAGGTGTAATAAATGTCTAGCTATGTCCTCCTATAGGTGCCTGCAGTGCTGTCAATCATGCAAACAATACTATTCATTTGTTATAGGTGAATGGCTCGTGAAACTTTGGGACCTGTTAATGAATTGTTCTAGATACAAATTGGCCTTTGTTATTCATGTATAGTAATGCAGTGTGTATGTGGCTGAACTAAAAAACTTTTTGTAAGTGAAAAGTATGGTTAAGATCAGTGTATCATTGTCTTCAATTACATGATATGTTGATATATCATTAATGTGGATTTTTTAAGAACCAACTACTGAATGATGCTTGTTTTTTTTTTGTATCCTGGGTTTATAGTTTGAAACTGCAGCAGCTGAGGTTCTTGCTAGTTTGAAATCAAGGGTAGCTAGTGAAAGTGGAGAAATGGAGGAGCCGGAGATTGGTGAAGTACAAATACTCTTGAGGTCAGAGCAGGATTCAATGTCAATGCGTTCCCTTGGGGTTAGTTTCTGTTTGAACTTTGCCTTTTTCTTGATTATCTTAGACTTTCTCTAATTGATGAACTAATTCCCATATTTCTAAACCTTGTTTTGTTTAGGCACAATGTATATCAAAGCTGGTCAAGGTATCTGGGATTGTTATTGCTGCATCAAAGACTAAAGCGAAGGCAACTTATGTGACCTTGCTATGTAAGAACTGCAAAAATGTGAAGATCGTCCCATGTCGTCCAGGGCTTGGAGGAGCTATTGTACCACGTTCTTGTGATCATGTTCCTCAGGTTTATAGAATGAAAACTGGGAACTCTTAATTTGAAGTCTAATTAGGTGATATTCTAATGGTGGGAATTTTTGCAGGTGGGGGAGGACCCATGTCCTATTGATCCATGGGTAGTGGTTCCAGATAAAAGCAAGTATGTTGACCAGCAGACACTCAAGTTGCAGGAAAACCCTGAGGTGAGGAAGCATTTAGTTGCAGAAGAGAAGCTCTACTGCAATCAGTAATGGCCTTCTTTCTTTATGTCATATTCTCATTTTATTTGTGTTTTTTGTTGAGGTAATTATAGGATGTTCCTACTGGAGAGCTGCCAAGAAATATGCTTCTATCAATAGATCGTCATCTTGTTCAAACTATAGTGCCTGGTACAAGGCTTACGATAATGGGGATCTACAGTATTTTTCAAGCGTCGAATTCATCAACATCGTAAGAGTCCACCAAGTGATAAAAGGAATTCAATTTTGTAGTGTTTGTCACTTCATTGTTATTATTTCTTTTTTTTTAAAACTTCTGGGTTACTATGTTCTGAACTGGGATGCAGTCACAAAGGAGCTGTTGCTGTTAGGCAGCCTTATGTTAGAGTTGTTGGATTGGAAGAAACAAATGAGGCCAATTCTCGAGGGCCAGCCAACTTCACAGTAGATGAGGTAATTTCTAAATTATCAATACATGTGGTGATTGAGAGCTTTAAGCTAATGTTAGCAGCATTGTTTCAAATTTTACTCCAAACTTGAAAAAGTGGTCAAGAGAAATTTGGACATAATTTATTTTTTTGCCTCTTTTCAATAACACGGGCCCAAATGCTGTTTGGAGTCTTTGGACAGCATTATTTTTTCAATTTTGGTGTTTGTTTTAATCTGATTGGATATTATTCCCTTGTGCATCAGTTCTTATGGCCTTCCTTTTTGCAGAAAGAAGAATTCCTGAAATTTGCATCCGATAGTAATGCTTATGACAAGATATGCTCAATGGTTGCTCCCTCAATATTTGGGCATGTTGATGTCAAGAAAGCTGTCACATGCCTTTTATTTGGAGGGTCAAGGAAGGTATGCCATTTTCCTTCAATGCGATGCTCTTTGTTTATTTATTGGTTAATTGCTAACTATGTTTGTGCAGTTCTTGCCTGATGGTGTAAGATTAAGAGGTGATATCAACGTATTGCTCTTGGGGGATCCCTCAACTGCTAAATCACAGGTCAGTTAAACTCATTGATTAAAAGGTGGCATTGTTGATATGGAATTCCATTTTCATGAGAGCCTTTTTTTTGCTGAAGCATGAGCAATTTAATTTGGCATTTGGTTTGCAAGGTTTTCTATTGTTATTCATCCTTGTTTCTATTTCCAATGCAAATGAGAGTCTGAATTATTTTATTTTACCATGTAGTTTCTAAAATTTGTGGAAAAGACGGCCCCAGTAGCCGTATACACATCCGGTAAGGGATCTTCAGCTGCTGGTCTCACAGCTTCTGTCATTAGGGATAATAGCTCTGTAAGTTTCTATATTTACCTTAGTCTAGAAGCCATTTCAGATAAATGTTCCATTTTCAATATTTTCAAATGATGAGTTTCTTTATAGTTTATCATAAATTGATGAGTTTCTTTTTTAACAATCAGCGTGAGTTTTACCTAGAAGGTGGAGCCATGGTCTTGGCAGATGGAGGAGTTGTCTGCATTGATGAGTTTGATAAAATGAGGCCAGAAGATAGGTAGATTATAGTTAGAGCTCCTTTCTTTTTTCTACTATTTTTTCTCATGAGAATTTCTCAAGAGCTTCTTACTGGTTACTAGAGTGGCTATTCACGAAGCAATGGAGCAGCAAACGATTTCCATTGCGAAGGCTGGAATTACAACAGTCCTTAATTCAAGAACCTCGGTGCTTGCTGCAGCTAATCCTCCATCTGGACGCTATGATGATCTCAAGGTTTCTATAATTCCTTGCAATTGTTTTATGCTTTTGCAATTTTCTGCATATTGTGTTGGCATAAAGCAGGAGCTGAAGTGCTATTTTCATTGCAGACTGCACAAGATAACATTGACTTGCAGACAACAATTCTTTCAAGATTCGATTTGATTTTCATTGTGAAAGACATCAGGAAGTACGATCAGGACAAGGTAAGACAAAATCCTAGCGCTCTCAATTCTGTGGGTGAAGTGAGCATTTTTGTGGTGTGGACTTCACTTTGTTCAAGAAATTAGGCGTCTAGATAGTGCACATAGTGTACTGGGCAAGAAATCACAAATAAATGGGTATTTAATTTTCAAAATATTTTCATTGATGTAATTTGAAGCAGACTTCGCTGTTGCTTATTTTAGTGTAAGAACTTCCAAGAATGTGTTCACTTACTGAGTGTTTCTTTCTCTACAGCGTATTGCTAACCATATTGTCAGGGTCCATGCATCTGCTGAAGCATCTAGGGATGACACTAGAACTTCTAAGGAGTATAATTGGCTGAAAAGGTTGGTCTTTAATATGGCTTGAAGTTATGCACTTCATTATTATTGTAACTTATAAGGTCTAGATGTTGAAGCAAATGTGTTCCTGTTGCAGATATATACAATATTGTAAGACCAATTGCCATCCGCGACTATCAGATTCTGCTGCCTCAATGTTACAAGAAAGTTATGTCAAAATTAGGCAGGTAATTACATCAGCAGGCTCACTATGGAGATTGTCCAGAATTAGACATCCAAGAACATTTCAGTACAAACCTTTCTTGATTATGAAAATGCTGTACATCTCTCAGTGATATTTGTTTCTTCTGTTATCTGCTACAGGATATGAGGCGACAGTCAAATGAAACTGGGGAGGCAGCAGCAATACCAATTACTGTGCGGCAACTAGAGGCCATAGTGAGGTTGAGTGAAGCTCTCGCAAGAATGAGACTGTAAGTAGCCACAATTATAAGTTGCGTCTTTGTCACTTGCATAGAATCAAATGCTTCGAGGTCTATCATCCTGCCATTAACTATGCCATTTAAGTTGTTTAGGAGAAGTCCCTTTTCCATGTGTTCCTTCTCACTGTTATCTTTATCCTTTCTTTCAGCTCCTATACAAGCAGTTTTTTAATCAATAATCTACCTCTTTCTTATCATGATTTTAGCTCCCAAGTTGCAAATGAAGATCACGTTTCAGAAGCAATTAGGCTCTTCAACACTTCCACAATGGATGCAGCACGATCTGGAATCAATCAACACATAAACCTTACTCCTGAGATGGCAAATGAGATAAAGGTTTGTCTCTTGTGCAACCAATACTCACATTAATTTTTCCAGCTATACATCCTTCCAACCACAGAATCTAACAGTGTTAATTTTTTTGTGGATGAATAGCAAGCTGAAACCCAAATTAAGAGAAGAATGGGTATTGGTAGCCATATATCAGAGAGACGGTTAGTTGATGAACTGACCAGGATGGGCATGAATGAATCAATTGTAAGAGTTGTCCTTTCAATGTTTCATATATATATATATATATATATATATATATATATATATATATATGCCTTTCTCATAATATATTCCCTTTGCTCCATTAATTTGATTTTTGGTGGTGCCCATCTGATAGCTCTTTTGGTAGTGAACCAGTAGAAGTCTAGATTTGTTCAATGATAATACTCTTAAGACCTTGTGCTGATGCCAGCGCTAAATATTGTCAGGTAAGAAGAGCACTGATAATTATGCATCAAAGGGATGAAGTGGAGTACAAACGAGAACGGAGAGTCATTGTTCGGAAAGCCTAAAGATTTGATGTCACAAGTACAGTATCCCCCAGCCAACTGATCACATAATTTGATGCCCTTAGGAAATCAGGCAGAAATATTTAAATTGTGGATTTAGATACTGCTTCTCAACACCTCTATACATTAGTCTGTACTGATTAGTGAACTGCAAGTGTAAAAGGTGTAGGAATGCACATCCACTCTTGGTCGAATGGTTGGAGTTATTTTGAGCAATCTAATGTATTTTATTTGTGACTGCACCAGAATGCTGATGCGTTGTAAACTTTTTCTGCAATTTCAGCAGGATATGTAGAATTGGTTTTTTAATGTAATTTTGATTTAAACTAAACTCTAAACCTAGGCAGCAAATGATCGTAGGATTTGCACCAGGTAGCTGACACTCTTAAAAATGAAAAGTGAAATTTATGCAAGTTTTTTTTGTTTGGAGGGGTGGGGATGGGGGGTCAAAATAAATCGAGCCCCTCTATGTGTACACATTCCATGTGCTAAACGAGGGTATATTCTTGTATTGTTTAATTTGATTTTAGAATTTTAATCCCAACTTAAAGAGAGTAATGCAGGGGTGAAAACAATGAGGCAAAAACTTTTAATGAGGAGATAGAGCTTGAAGAAAATTGTAATTTTATGGTGAACAAAGTACACAAAGAAGCTAGAATATCTTCCATTGGGATAAACATGTTGTGTATAAGCATTATTTTCATCATGCTTATACATTAAAATGTATGATAATTTTGTTTAAGTGAATACTAGAAAGCTATAAGCTATTGAAACGTAAGGTTTTAGAGTCTTATCTAACTATAAAAAGTATTTAAAAATTAAACTTGTGTTTGACCATTAATATAAATTAAAAATTAGTTTTAAATCAAAGTTGAGACATGATAGGACAACAATTTTGAAGGATAGTCATTTTTTTTGTTTTCCTACCCGATATTCAATATCCGTATTGAAGCCCGACTAAATCCAAATTCGCACATTGTAAAACCCTTTGGGGACGACGATGGCAACAAGATTTTTTCCATTCTCAAAGGCTTAAATTCAAGACCTCTGATAAGGATGAAAAAATTCCAATCATCCCATCACAGTCCATGTTTGTTTTGAATTACTTTTGGTGACTCAGTAGCATAAAGTACCACATGAATATGGGAATAGTTAACTTTATAATAGCATTTCATTCTCGAGAATAAAGTTGAACAATAGTTTGAAAACATCTAAAAAAAACAGATAGAATAACAGACCTTATATTGCTGAGGATAGAACTTACTTACATTCCTCTACTTTACATCAAAACATTCTATTCCTGATAAAAGAAAAGGCATCAACTTCTTGACCAGATGAAGTAACAAAAAACAACTGAAATAAAAGACTTTTACAACATATTTTGTGCTTCAGAATTTCTAATCATGTCTAAATATTGGTATCCTAGTTCAAGAACATCATTAGCTTTGTTTCTTCAAACCAGTAACAAGCTTAGTGCAACTTCCATTGATGGCCTATCTGAGGGTCTAACTCTGGTACAAAGTGAAGCAACTTCAAGAACCAGTTTTATTTCCTCTTGGACCGAGCTCGATGGAGCAACATCATTCTCATCCAAAACCTCTCTCAAAAGAACCTCCTTGGAGGTGTTCTGAATGCTCGTCACTGCATTTGACAGCTTCCCGTTGGTTAAGATTTCCAGAATGAGCTCACCAAAGTTGTATATGTCCCTGTAAAGTTCTTCCTGTATAGCTCGTTCGATTTCACCTGTTTGACACAATTAAACAAGATTCACAACCAGTAATAGGGAATTCTGGCTATGTCATTCAAATTAAGATCATTAAACACTTCAATTAGAATTGAAGGGGAGCCTTGGAGCAACGGTCAAGTCGCGTCTCCTTGGAGCAACCGAATCCTGTCTAATAACTAATCTTCTATTAAGATTGCTAACTAATTAACAAATATTAATGCAGACTATATCAAAGTATAGGTGCATACCTGCTTCATTTCCAACTCTTGCTACCGACGGACCATTATTTAATTGAATCAAGAATTTAACACCGAATTCAGTCAAATGAGGTTCCATGTTTTCATCAAACACAATGTTATTTGTCTTCAAATCCCCATGAGGTATCGCGGGGTAGCAATCATGATGCAGGTAACACAGTCCCTTAGCAACTGCCACAATGATTTTATGCTTGGTCGCCCAATCTCTCTTCGTCCTGATCCTTTCAGCCAGATTTCCATTAGGCAAGTAGTCGCACAACAGGTAAGCCATACACTTGTCGTAGCAAAATCCCAACAATCTGGTCAAATTCTTGTGCCTTGCATTGCCCATCCTTGATATCAAGTCCATCATAGCATTCATTCTCTCCGGTCTCCATTCGATCTTCTTCACCAAGACAGTAATTCCTGTTGGCAGAACAGCTTTGCAATCAGAACCTGCCAAGGGTGGCACCATATCTGTGGCTTCTTCAATAGAATTGAAGCTCCTCAAAACATCATTTGCTGTAAACCGAGGAAATCCACTAAAAGAAACCATTTTCCACTGCCCTTGACCTCTTCTTCTGAAGTAAAATACTCCGAAAAATGCAGCTGTAATAGCCAACACTATGATTCCACAGGTTATGAGAACCCATGCCAGCTTCTGTGTCTTTCTGCTTCCTAACTCCAGTCCATTCGGTCCACGACAAGGCCTCAACTGTGTCCCACAAAGCTTAGGATTACCCCAGAAGGCACTACTATCCATCACCTTAAAACTCTTATCAAAAGGAATCAAACCTGAGAGATCGTTGAATGACACATTAAGAAGTTGTAAGCTGGAAGAACTTCCGAACTTGGCCGGAATAGAACCGCTAAAACTATTGTGTGACAGGTCTACAACACTAATATCAGGAAGGCTAGCAAGTCCAACAGGTATCTGACCACTTAAATTGTTGTTGGCCAAGTCTAAGCTCACAAGATTTTGGCAGTTGCTTATGCTTTGAGGGAGAATCCCGGAAACATTGTTCATACTCAATTCAAGAACCAGTAAGGATTTGCAAGGTCCAAAAGGAGGAAAATCTCCTGAAATGCTACAATTTGTAGCTGAGAAATTCTGTAGTGCATACAAAGACAATGTCTTCTCCGAGATTACGCCCCCAAGATTTGGATTATTAGACACATTGAAGTATTCAAGGTTGGAAGCTAAGGCAATATCAGTAGGAATCCCTCCAGTGAATCTATTTCTAGACATATCAACATATGACAAATCAGGAAACTTGCCAAAGTTCAAAGAGATATCACCTGAGAATAAATTGTCTTCGATACGGATCCGAACAAGAGAGGAACAATTGGAAAGTGATGGAGAGAGTCCACCAGTGAAATTATTCGAAAAAAGGATCAACCTTTGTAACATCCCACCTGAACATATACTTGGTGGAATGCTACCAACTAAATAGTTTGTTGAAACATCAACATATTTCAGCTTTGAATATTTGCCCAAGTCTTCTGGGAGTGAACCTTTAAACCAATTGTCCCATAAAAGAAGTGTATCAAGCTGTGGAAGCTTTGCAATTCCTTCAGGAACAGTTCCACTTAAGTCATTGTACATAACACTAAGCAAGTTTAGATTTTTCAACTCCGAGAAACTCTCGGGGATTGGGCCTGAAAGATAATTATCAGAAAGATCCAAACTTGATAAAGATATGATTTTTCCAAACTCCCATGGGATTTTACCACTAAGCTGATTTCTAAACAAAAAAAGTGACTCAAGATTGGTCAAATTAGTCAGCTCTTTTGGTATTGAACCAGATAAATTTGCACTAGCAATATCAAGATACTGAAGCTTACTCATATTCCCAAGTTCCCAAGGTATGGTTCCTTCATACAAATTATAACCAATCTCCATATGAATTACTGTTTTCAGCATCCCTAATTCTGGTGGTATTTTACCACTCAAAGAATTTCCAGCTAAGTGAATGAAATCAAGATTCTTGAATGAGCCATACTCGGAAGGAATTGGACCACTGAAATAACTCCCTGCAAAATTCAGTACCTGTTGGGATTGAAATAACAAAGCGTCATGCAGAATCCAACAAAGCAAATCTTGAACGACGATAATTGAATAGACAAACAGAACTATATTAAAACAGGCATAAAACTAATAGTATAAAAGAAAGATACGCCTAAACTATCTATTTTTGGAAATTTCACAATCCAACTATTAGTTGTTCACTTTTTTTTACCTGAACTATTACCATCTATGTATTAAAATTGATAGTTAGAGTGTGAAACTCGTGAAAAAACATAGTTCAAACTTGTTTTTGACCATTAAAAACTCTAAAAGAAAGTATAGAAACTATGGAGAGAACTATCTCTCCTCTATAAACAAGATTCTTTTAACGACTACACTTGTGAATGCTAGTGTGTTGTTATGTGATCAGATGTGGAAGAAAAGTTGTCCATAATTCTCAAAAAAACAAAGCAAACCCTAACAGTACCTTGAGTGACTCAATTTCTGAAGCATCTTTAGGCAAAGGACCAGAAAAGCTGTTACTAAAGGCATCAAGAATGACAAGAGAATCAAGATTTGAAATCCCACTTGGGAAATGACCAGAAAAATTGTTCCTGCTAATATCCAAGCTTCTCAAATTTTTCAACTTGAAAATCCCAACAGGGAGTTTCTCAGAAAATGAGTTATGACTCAAATTCAGCTCAACAAGGTCTGAAAAAACACTAAATTGATTCTCTGACAAAACCCCACCAAGATTTTTCACAGAAAGATCCAATCCAATAATCAAAGAAGAATTTTCATTGCATTTCACACCAGACCAAGAACATGCATGAATTTTATCAGTTGAACCAGAAGGCAAAATCCAATCTTTCAAACTGTTGGAATTATCAAGAATTTCAGTTTTTAAGCTCAAGAGTCCTTGTGTAAAAGGATCAACAGCTAAAACAGGGAAAACAAGAATCAAAGATAGAAAAATCAAGAAAGTAGTAGTGATGTACAAAGGCTGAAAAAGTTTTATCCCCATTGGGACTTGCATCAGTAGTAGTAGTAGTAGTGAAGAGTAAGGGAAACAAGAAGAGAAAACTCAAGAAAATATGCAAAAATAAATAATATTGTGTCACCCCCTTATGTAATATTTCTACAAGTTCTTTTCTTGCATTGGGACTACAGAAAGATTGATAAAAACCTTGAGGAATCAAACAACAAAAACAAAAAAAATCTTGATTAGTTGTAATGAGAGTATAATTTTTGAGGAGCAAACACAAAAAAAAACATGGAGTTAATGGTAATTGTTGACCAAGCTAATTCAGACATTATAATTATATGAACGAATGAAAAATATTCTTTTTATTTATTTTTA